AAAAAAAAAAAAAAAAGAGTAACAAAAACATTTTTTCAAAAAATTGAAAGAATGCGAGTAAGATGTACTGTACTATTTAAATAGTACAATTACATATTTATTTATATTAAATTACACACATTACATATGTGCACAACAACATATGTAAAACATATAATTGTTCAAAAAATGAGTAAGAATTTGACGAGTAACAAAAAATGTAAATACAATGTCTAAATACTATGATTTTATATATATATATATATATATATATATATATATATATACACACACAGTATCTGTGTACTAAATTACACATATTATATAATACAAATAATTATATTGCCCCAACAAACACATACACATGAAAAGCTAACTCTGATATCTCCAGCAATGCAGTGTGGGTAATTTTTTGTGTTTTTGGGGCACATAAAGTCAGCCTAATCAGGGGAGACAGGACAAAGTCAAAACAAAACAAGCTTAAAAAAAGGCCCTACTAACCTTTAGTAACTTCCACATCTTTGCGGTTGCCTACCAGGGTGGTGTAGATCTTCCTAATGAGCTCCATGTTGTTTAGCAGAGAGTTGAAGCCATTAAAGTAGGAAAAGCTGACCTGATGTGACGTACTTCCACCGGCCGCCTGCAAAATTGGCAGACATTTGAACGAAGACATCCTTTTATGAGGGACAGAGGTGATAAATAGCTGAGAATTCTATGGAGTGCCAAACATTAATCAAGCTACAGTGCGGCGACATCTTTAGCACTTCCACCCCACAGAGCGCTAAATAAATACATGTGTTTCACAGAGAGGCACACTGGTAATTTCAGAGGGATTGAAGCTTGAGGGCCATTTTTAATTAAGCTGTTTTATGAGAAGAGGGCCATATAAAGTGGAAAACTAACATGAGGTAAATCTTTAAATAGCATCTGACAGAATTCTTGGTGTAAAAACTCCCTTTGCCACTCTGATAGCAAAAGAAAAAGAAAACTAGCCAGAGACCAATTTCATTTAAACTGCAATATTAAGTATTTATGAAATGTAACATTTTTAGAATGTATTTGATGATTTTTTTAGAGACAAGACGAAGTGTAGTTTGGCTGAAATAGTGCTTGTATAGTTTTCTTCAGGCTTAAGAGGGGCTGGGAAAGAAAAGCGAGAGCAGATTGTCTCTCACTAGATGGCGCTGTGTGCTTTGCAGAAATGGTGGTGTCTACCTGAAGCCACAAAAATCATACCTGCTCTGAAGTTTCCTTAACCAGGATGTCATTTGTAAAATCCCTGCATAAACCTGCCCACAAAAAGTATAAACCTTTTTGTAGTATAAACCTTTTTGTAGATGGGATAAAATGTTTTTTATACCTCCTGTCTTGTTTTGCAAGGCATCTAAATTAGAGGATTGAGTGTATAGACTGGGTCTGACGAGCGTATTGTCTTTAATTTATTTCTAATGGCCTCGAAATTGTGTGTTTACAAACATCTCCTAGAATCCCAAGGTTTATGATTCACAAACCGTGGAGAAAATGACAGACTTCACTGAGTGTGTATAAAACAGACTGCTTACACATATACACCTAGCAAATAAATATCTCCCAGTGGTTTACGTGAAACAAAAGTCTATCACAAAACTGTCATACAATACAACCACTGGCTGAAATAGCTAAAACATAAATAAAAATAAACAAACTCACTGCAACTAAGCATTCCTCCACAAATTGTGTGAGCATGTGGGGTCTGATGGTCACCATGATGTCCCTGAAGTCCAGAGCGGTGATGGTGCCTGTCTTGGCCTTGTCTCTTTGCATAAAAGCCTGTCTGGCATGTTCAAGCTGCATCTCCTGCAACACAATACATGTCAATCAGTCTGTGCATGCTGGTAGTTTACACTATGCTGAGTTGGAGTGATTTGTACTGAAAAAAAAAAAAAGGATATATTACATGCTTGTGATTTTATGCATGTGATCCATTATGTACAGCTGGCCTTAATTATGCAAAAAATGTAAATGTAAATCAATCTTTGAATGGTAAAAGCAGCTCCAGACGATATATAAATATGAAATATAAAGTCTATAAGTAAATATAATAAATGTAATGATTAAAGGAACCCTGTGCATCGATCTAAATCAAAATATGTCAAAATGTTTAGTCTAAACCATAATAAAGATTTATATTTATCAATTATAATACTATTTATTTTACTTAATCATAAATGCTATTTTATTTACAATATTATTTATGTTATTACATGGGCTAAAAAAAGAATGACAAGGCAAAAAAGACAAGCCAATCAAAATATTTAAATAAAATCATTAATAAAAAAAAAAGAAAATAATAATAATAATAATAATAAATATATATATATATATATATATATATGTATATAAGTATATTAATATATATATTAATATATATGTATGTATTATTTAAAAAGTAAAAAAAATATTTGTAAAAATATTTTTATTTCTAAAAGTATCAGTCCATACAACATGTCGCCCATGTTGTTTCAATTAAATAACTATTTTATGTGTTTATTATTTTCAATTAATTTATTTGCTTGGAGACATATGCTAGAAAGACATTTGGAGAGGGAACTCTCATTTTGTTGATTGCGCAACTCATTTGAAACGGCTGCAGTATCACATCAGAAGACGAGAATGACTTTCTTACACATCTCAGGTTTTTAAAGAGAGTTGTTTTTCTTTCTTCCCGCATAATTGAGCTACCGCTCCAAAATCCTAGAAATATAGGTCTGCTGTGCGAATAGACGCGCCTTCGTATAGAAGAAACGTCTGCTCACAAAACACTATTAGAGAAAATGTCAAAGCTTTGAATGTCAGACTCCATGCTAACCTATTTCTGATATTATAGAAATGTCACTGTCCTAATAAAAATACAGCAATAATACAGTTACAGATTGTTGCTGGTAATTTCACTATTATTAACCTATTTTTCACATCAATATACTTATTTGAATATTTGCAAATCACATTAAAGCAAATGCTGGAAAAACAAAGAATTTGACTTTACATCTTATACCGTACATGCTCCTGTGTCTTTCAAAAACACACAAACAATGTTTTAAACAAGGAGGAAATGCCAGTAGCAGTGTAAATAAATAAAACAAGGGCAGAGGTAGAGCAAAATATTATCTGGCTACAGATTTTTCCTGTCTTGCATCGCGCTGCTCCAGCCACAAGCATGTGGAATTGCATTATAATTGTGGATCTAAACCTTACAGTTTAGTTAGCTTCTTAAAAACCTTAAATTACTGCAACTGTGAGTATTTCAAAAGCATGCTTTTTATTTAGAGAGGAGAAGAACTGAACCTACGAAAGCCAATATTGAAACCACCATGGCATTTATTGTGCCTTTAATTGTCTTTGGATTCAAATAAAAACATTTGATGAGCCACCTCTGTTTGGGTCAATTATTGTAATTCAAGCGCTGGCATTAAAAACCGCATTTAAACAGCGAAACAGCCGCTAAAAAATATCTGAGAAGTCTTAAAGATCTCATCATTAATGTTCAGGTTAAAGAAATTGCAGGATGTTAAGACCTTTGGCTATGTCAGTAATACCATTTCTGACAGCAGAGCCAGATTTCCGACATGTCATATTTGTAGGTGGTCATATTGACATGAAGTCAGTGTTGGAAAGCATCCATTCATAAAGGAAAGGAAAATAATTCAGAGAATTTGTGGATTTCATTGAGAGTAAATCTGAATCTGCAGCTTTTTTTCTCATGCGTGAAGCTGCTGGTTCATTTTTACAGTGCTGCGTGATATTGTATCAGTGCTGTAGTGGATAAAATCTAACAGTTAACAAACCGGATTTTTCAAATCACTCCAAACAACCATAAAAAGTTGCCAATTCAAAGAAAATGAAATAAATGAAACAGGAAATGTGTTTTTTCATCGTTTTCAAGTTCCAAAAACAAAATGAATCCCATCTTGGCCACAAACACAATATCGGCGTGTTTCTCGCAGTTTCCCAAAAACCCATCTGGACCAAGTTAAGTTTAATATAAAAAGCTCATTCAGATATAGTGAGTGTAGATGCGAACTTGGCACAGCCGACCCCTCACACTCCCTCTGCCCACTCTCAGGTCTAGACGTTATATTGGAAAATTTCTTACACACCATCACAAATACAAAAGGAATACCGCTATTCTTCTTGTAGGAGAAAACCTTTACCTGTTTTAGGGGAATCGCTAGACTGCACTGAGGTTACGTCACCTAATGAGAAACAAATGCTGGCATAGGAATATAACTCCAGTGTTTCATTAATGACTAACTAGGTCAATATGCCTCGTTGTGCTGCGGGAAACGGTGCCCAGGACTGTGTGTCAATCTAGGCGAGACCAGGCACAAAATATACCAAACAAGACATTACATCGATCTGAGCTCTGCGGCGGTGAAGGAAAGTATGCAACAGGGATAGTATGAAAGTGAACGTGTTTGGGAGTACGTGGCGGGAAAGGTGGGGTGCAAGTGGATCAGAGAGAGATTAGACAGCAGTCATACCCACCAGCAGAAACTGAGTGAACTCCCCGTAGTTAAGGTGTTTCTTCCTCTCAGCGCCGAAGTGAAGCTGAACAAATTCCGAGTTCCAGTTAAAGGGGATGTGCTGGTGAATAGTGGTCTGACCGAAAACTTGTTTCACATCCTCTGAAATCAGAGATAAGCCTTGCGTCAGAAATGTCATTGTTGAGGATTGAGTTACAAAACTATGCATTGTTAGATTTTAATGATAGTGCCTCTAAAACATGGGTCTAAAAGTAAATCTTGTTTAGAAATACAAGGCATCAAACAGATTTTTTTTTTTACATTTAAACATGAAAATATACATAAAACGTTTTGAAAAAATACAAATAAAAAAACAAGAAAGGTTTAAGATTTGGCACTATTTGTAGGTCACTAAACGTGTAAATTTAAGACACTGAACTTGACTCTTTATACAGAAATACAGATGTTCTTGCTCTTGGATCATGTCAAATCATGCTGGAGAACAAGATCAACAGGTTTTACACAACCCTGTGGCATTCATCAAATAAAGAAAAAACTAAGATATTTTGACATTTAAGTTCATTTTTCAATTCAACCATTAACTCATATGCTGATGATATAATTAATAATAAAACATTACTTTAGAAAATAAAAGGCTAAACAGAAGTGGGAAACAAAATAAGTCTTTGCAATGAAGATGACAATAAAAGCAAAGAAAAATGGGGTTGGCGGTTTTTCCGGCAAGCATTTCTCATGGAACGCTGCAGGTCCAACAGGTTTTTCCCATTTATGGCAATATATATACAGTAAGCAGTCATTTAGCAGATGCTTTTTATATTGCATTACAACAGAGTTCCACAGTGGAGCTACTCCAGACCTTTATTTTATCAGTGTTTATGAACCTGTCAACACTTCTCTGTCCTTCTTTCTTTATATCGCTTTGGAGTCGCATGGCAGCCTGCAAGTTTAATACCTCTAATTCTCCTAATTGAAGTTGAAGGGGGGAGAAAAAGGGAAAAAAAAATACCCTAGTCATTCATTAATTAAAACCTACATTTTCCAAACCCTTAAAAAATACCCCTTCATAATATGACTTGCAATGACAGGGTTTATTAAACGGCGAAAAAAGACTGTTTAATGTAACAGCAAGAGACCTTTAATGCTTTTAATGACATTAAGAGGGTTATAAACGGGAGTCTCCTGTTTGCTTTAACACAGAGCGGCATTTCATTTTCCTACCCTCTGTAGTGCATCACAATAAAGTGATTTTGACATGACCATAATCTTAGTCAGAAGTTATTTGCTATTTATGTTGACGTGATTGCAGCAGTAGAAAAACAGGTGTATGAGACAACTACTGCCTATACGTTCTCATTACAGCTCAACCCAGACATACTACTGACGACATGAACAACAAGAGACCTTTGAACGGCACAGAAACATCACTTCTAAATAACCGAGTCATTTCAATACGAAATATGCACATGTGCATGTATTATCTGATCTTATTCCCTATTGACTAAAACAGGTTGATGAAAGTCTCTTTCTCTCCGCCTAGGCACTTTGGATAGTGCATTTGAAATGAGCTGATCTGACAGGTCTCACCTACAAAAGGCAAATTAGACTATTTAAATCAATTAGGGAAATTTAACGCATGAGGTGCACACATGCATTCTTCCTGTGCCAAGTTCCTTTTGCAACATGAATATAACTGCAAAAGCAACTTCTCATCTTATTTGTGCATTACTATCCTTGATTCTTATCTGGAATCAAATAACCGCAATGAATGTAAAGCGGAAGGTTATACTGATGTCCACTATAGTGACTGTTTGAAATTGATCTGCCTTTTGAAGATCTCTGGCAGTGGATGAATAAACCCGATTAAGAGTTTTACCTTTACTGATCCTGTAGTACTTTAAGTGACAGGAATCTGTCGGTCTAAGCAAGCATTCAGATTAGACTACTTAGCATTAGCCCTTTGTTTTGAGGCCGGTGACTGAACATAAGGTGCCTTGGAATTTTACTCGATAACCTCACTGATTTAGACAATCAGCTGATATAAATACAGTTTAGGCCAAAACAAGGATATTCATGTAATGAAAATTAACAAACCAAACCAAACCACTAAACAAAACCAAAAAAAAAGCAAAACAAAACAGGGTTGTTTTTACAGAAAGTGAAGTGACTAGCAAGGCTTTGAGTGACTTAGCCTTTATAAATCATGGCAACTTTAGATTAATACAAGACTCCAATGTTCAAAAAACATTTACATGTACTATTAAGCAGCTTTTCTGCCAAGTAATATAGTTAATTCTCGTAACTGTAGCCTGTTTGACGTTGGCAAACAGAACAGCAACTAGGCCCATTTACACAGAATGTGTGCGATCACAGGTGAACTTTTATGAACATTTTACAACAGCTTCAAAGGTAGATCATACAATCAGAATTTTGAGCTGGAACTCTGTTTTATGAAGAGTGTTGTACACTTACCAAAAGTGGCAATTCCGTTTCCAGCTTTGTCGAAGAGCTGGAAGGCAACCATGAAGAGAGCATCCGGAGCACACAGCACCGCCTCAAAAGCCAGAAACTCCTGGAAGGAGATCAACCTGATGGAGACAAACAGACTTACAGCCTACATATTGTGGACACTTCACTTCACCAGCATGGCATTGCATTATTGAATGATGAGAGGGTATCACTCACTGATTACTGCTTCTCATCGCCAAACAAAAAAAGGTAGCACATATTTTCATTGTGAACACTTGACACTTGAGTGATTTGTTCAACTGTAATTATCAGCCTAAAATTATGATGTACAAAACATCTAAACACACAGTCCAGCTTCGATTCTAGGCCCAGAGATTAAGTGAATGACAAAACAATTTGACGTAACAGGCTATTCAATGATCACAATCTTGATTGAAGTGCTTCCAATTTGACTGTCAAATGTCATTACCTTACTGAAAATGGGACCAGTTCATATAAAGCCCCCAGGATGGGAACTCAGTAAATAATGTGATTACAAGAGAACCAACAAGTCATGCTGCAGTACAATAAGGAAATGCTCAGGAATTGCTAGAATACATATACACTACCAGTCAAAAGGAGACACAGTGTTTTTTTTATGGTCTTAAAAAGCTTCATGTATAGGCTTATACTAAAAATTTTCAAAATAAATGAATATATAAACTAAAATATATATAGTTAAAAAATATGTATTTAATTTCTTTTATATAAATATATTATTTATATAACAATGATATGAATGCAACAGATATTGCACCTCCGTATGAATTTCTTTACAAAACTAAAATATTAATTTAGTTTTGTTTTTTAATGTATGAGTTGAACCAGATATAGTAAAGGAAAAAGGCTTGCTATTGATTAGATGTGCCCAAACTTTTGACTGCTAGCGCACATTTTGAGAAAGAGATAGGAAGCCTTCTTATATTTGCCACTATTATTAAATATAACAATTTTAAGATTATTTCATTAGTTCCTATATGTGTGCTCACTTTACACTGAGGATGAATGGGTGCTATTGTTCAAAAAATAATCACGTAAACCAGCAGAAAGATTTTTAAAAATTGATATCAATAAAAGGGGAACGGCTCTACTTCTGCAAATGACTAAAAGTTTGAATCATAATGGAGAGCATGACATTTGCCGAACATCAGAAAACACATAAACATGCACACAAACGCACACATACACATGTATCTACCTCATCAAATAAGCAATTTCAGCATTCATAGGAAACCCTGGGGACCATGCAATCTAGTCTTTATTTAAGCGCAGTTCAAAGTTGCCTCAACTCCATTATGAATTTCACAAATGGATACAGCAATTACTCGAGGTCACTGCTAACGAGCAGTCCCAATGCATGCATCTCTAATTTATTTCAATTTCCAGGGAGCAATGATTACATTTTCGTGGCCACTCTAATTAATTTTGTTACTGATGAAATTTAAAGGAACTGAGAATTTGTGCGCTTCCAGCATGCCAAATCAGCCACATTGTGGAGTCAAGAGTAATTGTTTTATTAACTAAGCTGACAGTAGAACAGGAGCCTGCTGTTTCAGAGTGGGTGGAGAGCTACAAAGGCGATCCGCTGGGCCCAGGCGTCGATGATTAAAAACAAAAAGCAATGAGAAATGATACAGATGCTGCTGCTTTTACAAAAAAAAAGTTTACCAAAACTCAGCAAGTGATTAAAATGCATCACCAACACGAGAAACCATTGGAAGGAAACGATGGACTTCTAATCACCAGATGGTATTGCTTTCATTTCAGATCAGCTTGATGGTCACTGTAATTGATTTTGGGAGCGTATCTGCATTAAATACCCTCCTATCAACATACACAAAAATGAGTTGTGCATGTAGTTTCCCCAGCGCCATTCCAGACATGAGGCTTATGATGGTTGATTAGCAGTTCCTTGACTACTAGAGAACAATTACGCTGATACACAGACACACTAAGATGCCGTCGCCATGAAAAACAAACTAAACTGAAGCTCGAGTAATAAGGCCAATGCAAAACATCTTCCAACCATCAACTAAAATGGCACAGAACCAGAAGGGTAACATGGGGAATGCAAAAACTTTTCTCAAATATGATACTGAAATGGTTTAATAATATGGGCAGTTCATGTGGAACTTTGTTTTTCTAAACACACAAAAACTGGAAAATCTTATAAAATACACCACCATTCAGTTTGGGGTCAGTAGTCAGTAGTTTGTTTGTTTTTTAAGAAATAAGTACTTCTATTTAGCAAGGACACATTGAATTTACAGTAAAAAGTGACAGTAAAGACATTTATAATCTTACAAAAGAGTTTTTCCAAATAAATGTTCAGTTTAACTTTCTATTCTTCAAAAAAAAATCCTGAAAAAATGCATCACATTTTCCACAAAAATATTAAGCAGCACAACTGTTTTAAACACTGATAATAATAAGAAAGCACCAAATCTTGGGATAACGGTCGCTGAAAATTCAGCTTTGCCATCACAGGAATACATTTCATTTTAAAATATATTAATATAGAAAACTGTTATTTTAAATTGTAATAATATTTCACAATATTACAGTTTTACTGTATTTTTGATTAAATAAATGCAGACTTAGTGGGCTTAAAAGAAACGTTTCAAAAACCTTTAAATTCTTGATCTTTTGCAATCATCAAAACTCAGGAGAGAGACATCCTATATAAATCAATACATTTGTTCTTTGTTTTTCATAGAATTGTAATATTATGTTGCTATCAATTTTCAATGTGTTATGCTAATCACAACAGGCATATACATGTTGTACAAAGCATTTCCCTTTATCGCCCAGTGGGTGCCATGCACCTTTAAATTGTTTTGTTTCTAAAAGAGAAAGGTGCTGGTAAACACTGTCCTTAGCAGAAACACTATTTACAGACTTATTATTTCAGTGGTTTAGCGTAGTAGCTTTTATCCGTGACAGGTGAAGAGAGAGCACCTTCAATAAGCTCTGGCCCTGTCATTGTCACTGACAAGCCTGGATGCAGAGGGACGCAGGCTGGTTTAGCTTTCCCTGAGTGCATACCTCAGACCAGCCTGAAACCACATGGGCACGGACTGCCATTTTCCCAGCATGCACTCTTTACAAAGTTTTAACCCCCAAGAGGCTACAGTGTTTCACACTTGAGGAGTTTTTCCATCAAAAATGGAGAGGGGAGAAAAGATAGAGCGAGAGAAGGAGAGAATGTCTGGCAGATCTTTGAATCAGCAGGGAAGTCTACATGTGTTGAATGAATGATTCAGAACCGTTGGCAGGATGCCGCTCAAACAGGGCTGAGTGAATAAAGGAGAAATGATTCAGTGCCTGATGGATGTCACCATATCACTTGATTTATTCCAGCTCAGGAGGAGGTAGAAAATGCATCATGCTGTTTGTATCCATCTCATGAAACAGATAACCTGTGAATCATCTCAATCAGATGAAAACCTACCTCGGTTGTAAAACATATCGTGTTCAGCAAAAACATCAGCACCCACACAAATTTAGCTAGAGATGGATAAGAGCTTTTAGCTCTTGAAATTGTATGATTCTGAATACATTTAAATATTAGAACGAGTTTCATTTGTACATAAATTTATATAAAAACAAATATGAACTGCTGTTAGGACTTCATTCCATCATAATTCTGGGCCGAAGGCCTCAAAATGAACGTTTCTTCATTTGCAAAATTCCACAGTTCTGACGGCATGAAGGTCCTGACCACAGCCGCCACTACGACCAAACCACAGAAATCTATATACAACCAGATCTTTATTTAACTAGCTCAGGAACCTACATGCATTGTGCAAAAAAACATGAAAAATCCAAAGACAAACCGAAAAGACAATGCTTACCAACATACTCTTTATTAATATTTTTCCATAATGTTGATTAAATCAAACAATCCTCCTATTTTTTTACTCAAAGCCTTACAAATAAATAAAAAAATTATGTTCAGAAAGAGAGCTCAAGCCATGATTCCCTAATAGTTATCCGTTAATAGCTGAGATGCAGCAATTTATCCATCCTCAAAGTCGCACAAAGCATGAGAGCTGAATGGCACAGGCAATTACAGTGCGTGTGTACCTCTCCCGGTCTATGGCAGCCCTAATAATGTGTGCTGCATGACCACATGCACTCGGCGCAGAACGCAGCACGGCTGGTTGCCATAGTAATGCACAATCATTTTGGACTTACGCTTGAGTATCATTGGCCATCATTATGTATCATTAAAAGCATACATATTAATGCAAAAAGGGGTTGAGCCATGCTGCCTGAATGGAGCAGCACCTGAACAAAGTGTGGCGTGGTAAGATGCCTGACCCTAATGCAGGATTAAAAGCGGAAGATCCCACAGCATAATCCACATCCATTTCACAGCAAAGGCTTTGTTTATGAATCAAATGAACTATAAACTGTAATTTACACAAGTCGTGAATTATTAATGAAAAACACAAATTCACACTGTGTGTTGGTCATTGTCATTTAAAAACTGAAAATTCAACAGTATTATTTAGGGGGCATTTTTATTTTGTGTTTGGTAGCACAGTTTGATTTGTTTCCAAACTATTACCTACTAAAGGTTCAAGTGGAACATAAAAATTTAAAAGCAGCAATAGAAATAAATACTAACCCATCTTTGGTCTGGTCCACAACACCTGCCAGTAAAACAGTGGCATCCTTAGAAAGCTTTATGTCTGTTTGTGCATGAAGGAACCTGGACGCAAAGTCCTCTGGGGACATGTAGTACTCTCCATTCTTCTCCACACTGGCATACTGTGAATGGAAAGAAACCTGGGTTAATATCATATATATATATATATATATATAATGTTGATGCCACTGTAGTACAGAATAGATATTGTGAATAAAATACTTCATTAAGTGTTTGTAAACAAAATATCAGCAATCTGATTTACATAAAATATGATGTATTTTATACAAAAAACCAGCAAACTCAAAGCAGTCATTGAAACAGTCACTTAATACAGTGATTGTACAATGCAGTATTTCATGAAGATTATTAGTATGGCAAAATACATCTCAGTTAAAATCACATATCGCATCAAAATGGTAGTCATATATATTTTAGTATTAAAAGCCCAGGACAATATAATCAAAGAAACATTATCTTCATAGTTAAAGACAACATGAGCAAGACATTTTACAATCATACAGAAGGTACTTTCTACACTTAAAAGCAGATATCAGAAGGAAAGAAAGAGGTTGATTATTGAAAGGAATATGAATTAAGCATGTGTTATTTTGTTGATCATTGCTGTTAGATAAATTTAAGATGCTACTTAAAATACGTTATTCATGCAAAGTTTTTTCTTGTGCTTTTAAGGAACTCCACTTTGTATATTCATGTGAACTTACTATGAGTTCCATACAGTGCTCGATGCATTTTTAAATTAATCCTCAGGTTTTCTTTCTGTAATGAGAAATTTATTAAATAGTTACATCAGATAGAGGTATATGTCATTGACACCAGTGCTTAGATGTTGGGCTACGGCTCCCGTTCCTTCATTTCCAGACTTTAGTTTCAAGCGAGATAAGCAGTGACGTACCTTCAAAAAAATGGACTTGAGCTCTGCTGGATCAGCCCTCTTTATCATTACCTGTAGAGACAAACACACTATGATCTACATTCATAATGAATCTACATATATACATTAGGCCTTGTGCTCTGTTTGAACATTATTTTAGAATAAAGGTTTTTTTATAATTACATTCCAGTGGTAATGATGATCATATCACAGTTAATTATTGGTATTATTATTAAAAGCATCTTATATCTAAGGAACCCAGGCAAGCACTTGTAATGTCAAGCTCAACTTCAGCTCACTTCAAGAATGTTTAGCATCCTATAAACCCCATGACACCCATTTAAGCACTCAAGCAGATGCTGGACAGCCTGTCTGCAGGAGTTTGATGCTTCATCCGATCTCTCTGAAGTGCTATTATGTCTCAATGTCATTGAGAGACGCTATCATTCACCCAGGACATTAGCAGGCTAACTAACTAGCTCTATCACACCGGCTACTATGTACTGAAGGTTATCAGTTCATCTCCCCCGCGTTTCTCCAGTATGCTCCAATGGCGTTTTCTGGATATATACGATTGTTTCACGATCAAACTAACTCTGAGCTCCCTTCATCTGCAGAAAGCCTAGCTGTTCCTGTGCGAGAATAGCGCTTACCTTCGCTGCCATGCTCAGCTAGCGCACAACTATAGCAGCAGGAAGACTTCTCGAGCTTGATGACGTTTCCATGGAGATTACGTGCGGCACAGAAGCGGCTGTTGCGCGTAGATGCAGTAGGACTGTCATGTCCCCATCATAAATATTTTCAAATACTGTATAAAATATCAGTTTTATTTTTTTAAGCATGTTATTCGTATTAGTTAGTTATCACAATATCAGTGGTGAAGCCATTGGTTTGGTTTGAGCAATTGTTATAATATTTGTCATTATCCTGTGTGATATTCACTAACTTTTCACAAGAAAATAAATATTCTGGGTATTTATTTCCTATTTCTAATCGAAATATTTCAAACAAAACATCCAGCGTGGGTATCATTTTAGGCCGTCTATGAAATATCATTAATTTCTTTTTGTTTATCTTTGACTTAAACAAAAAGCCAAAAGCCATTAAACAAAGCCAGGTTCTTTATCTCTACAGTTAAACAGGATGTGCTCATGATGTGGAATGAAGTAATGTTAAGAGCATAACTGCAGCAATGGCAAATAACTGGTGTCATGTAATCTAATGATTAAATCAAACGAACTATATGATGTACACTCTTTTGAATTTTAATAAGGTGTAAGTATAGAAACAGACAAACAAAGAATATATTAAATAAAATAAATTGAGAGCTGGATGACGTTAACAAATTCCAAATTATGAAAAACTGAAGAACGTAAATACATTAATAAAAACATTTATTTCGCCTTAGAAATGTAACAAGTCTTCCCCATTCTATCTTCATAAGCTTTTTTATTCAACCATCGACTGAGCAAAGAAGGAACAGTTATCATTTTTCTTGGTATAAAAAACAACAACAACAATTTAAAGGAGGAAAAGGTCTCTGACGGGGATGGACTTCAGAAATAAAATGCATTTTGAGCTCAAAATATTTCAAAGTGTTTTTCTGGTGGCTTCTGGGATTCTTGGAGAACCAGTAGGAACCACAGTATGTTTCACAGCAGGCTTTCTCCATTACTCAAATGGACCTCATAGGGAAAAATTCTCTTCCCCCAAATATCCTTGGCACCTGCTCTATTTGTTTTTATATATATATATTCTTATATATATATATATATATATATATACAGTATATATATTCTTATCATATATATTAGGGGTGTCCCCGACTAAGGATTTTCATAGTCGAATCGGAATTTTCGAA